TGGTTTTCTGCTGCTCTGATAAAACACCATGACCAATACAACTTATAGAAGAATTAGTTTATTGGGGCTCATGATTCCAGAGGGAGAGGCCATCATGGCAGGGGAAGCATGGCAGGAGAGGCTGGTGCAGAAAGCTGGGAGCTCACTTCTTCCAGACAAGACAAGACCAGTCGGACCAGCAGCAGGACCAGCCAGACTGCAGCCTCCATCCTTGGAGCTGGGAAGACAGTTCCCTCAACTTTCTAACTTGGAACCACAGCAGTCCTGACTGGCTTCTCCCCAGGATTCTTAATAAAATGAAGAGGCCCAGGGTCATGTTTTAAGTCCTCAAGCTGAGAGTCACCACCACCACCACTGTCCCTTCTGCTCTGGAGCCCGCAGCTGGGTCAACGTCATCTTGGCTCGCCAGTTCTGTTCTTTCTTACTTGCCAAGAACTGAGTTCAGAGTTTTTAGATCAAAACAGAAGCACTTATGGTCAGGGAGTATTCATTTTGTGTGATAAGTTCTTCACAAGGTCAAGCACATGGACTCAGTCTCTTGGGAGCCACTATGCCCCCAAATGCTGTAGTGTTGTTGATGAGGGAATCGTGTTGACAGAAAATGCATTTGGAATGATGAGGCGGGGTGTGGGGCTCAGACACAAACAGAGACAGCAGTATCACCTGTCCGAGCCCTCCCAAAGCTGAAGGTAGCTATGGGAAGAAGCCTGACAGGAGCTGCACATGAGAGGTTCCCAGGAGGCAGCTCTCAGAAAAGCCTGCACCTTCTTCCCTGAAGCAAAGCACTTCAGGAGGAGGCTGACATCAAGGTCGTGGAAGCAGGGTCACCACCTGTCCTGCTCCTGTGGCTGAAAGTCTTTACTGGGAGTAGGATGGGATGTGAGGTAGTTCCCAGAGAAGAACTTCTCAGAGAAGCCCTCTGTGACTCCCTCAAAGCACCCCTGAGAACACTTGAGCATCGGTCGGCCAAGCCTTCTGTTACTCTCATAAAGTGTCTCTGAGGACTTGTGCAAGAGCGACCCCATAGGAAGTATGGGCCATTTTGGGAGAAACTTGAGTGCCTAGCCAGCCTTTAGGCTATCCAGAATGGAGTGAGATCAGGCCTCTGTGACCTCACGTAAGTGGCTGCTTCCATGGTAACAGCTTTGGCTTTGGCTTGAGAGCAGCTAAGGTTGTCTAAGACTCAGAAGCAGGAGCAGATGGGCAGCTTTGGGCTGTGTTGCGTGCTGGAAAGAATCCTAAATTCTTGGCATGAAAACATGATCAGACTTGCAGTGTAAGGTGCTTGGAGGTACAGGCCTTGCATGTGGTAACTGGGGGAAAATGGCATTCTTCAAGTGTCCCTGATGTACCAAGACAAGTGTCACCCTCAGAAAATTGGAAACATCAGGGATCAGAGGGCTTCAGCAAAGCAGCCGGTTGCAAAGACACAGGGAAAGGACAAGCTCCACTTGCCAGGGGGAGAGGGCTTGGGCGGCACCTGCCAGCCCCGGCTGCTGAATGACTCCAACCCTCAGCCTGGCAGAGGAGGATGCTCCGCTATTCATATCACCTTCTGCAATCTTCTCCCATGGCAGCCCGTGCTGGCTGGGCAGGTAGGAAAGCTTCATGAGGCCCTGGGATCATGGCAACAGCAACCTTGTCAGTTGTGCACATGGGCCCTCCCCAGTGTGGTCACAGCCATGGCTGCAATAGGAATCAGCATTCCAGCACACTCCATCTCGCCCTGGTTTTTATAATTGTACTTTTACTATATATGTTTTCCTTTGACCGTGTGTGGCATATCTGTGTTCTTGTCTGTATGCACATGCCCCAGATGCATGTGCATCTCTATGAGTGCATGTAGAGGTCAGAGGTCAATTCGGGTATGTTCTTCCTCTATCATCCACTTTATTTTTCTCAGTCAGGAAGACTTGGGTCTCAAGCCAGTGCTAATGAAGCCATCTAACTGCATCACCTCCTGCTTTGTGGGAACAATGGACTCTGAAGTGTGGGAACATATGGTCACTCATTCATTCATTAACTCAGGAGGAAGCTTGATTGAGACAAAAACAGGCAAGAGCAAATGCTCACAGAGGTCAGTCTATGATCCTCCTGGGATGGGGCTCCTTCTGTTTAAAGAAATGGTAGTTTCTTTTAAAGTTTTATTCTCACTCTGCCTACCTACCAATCTATCCAGGATATCTGGCATGCTGGATAAGTAAAGTACTCTGTCACTGAGCTCCATCTCAACTCAAGCTCACAGTATAATTGTATTAAAGGAACATGCGGGGACTAAGTTTTTCAGTCACCTTTGTATGCTCTCTTCAGGGACAACACATCACTCCACTGTCTTAACAACAAGGGAACCTTGTTGGGAAAATGTGCAGCTGAGTGACAAAGCATGGTATGAGGCTGGACACTGGGCTGAGGAAGCAGCTCACCCCACTTTCCTCCTCCCAAGACTGCAGACAAAGAGGTATGGATTTCCAGAGATCCCTCTGAGAGAAGCTTCATGGTACTCTGCAAGAGCACCTCTGAGGGCCCTGGTGCATGGGTTGGCTGAGGAGATGGTGCACCAGGCCAGGGGGACATTAAGAACTTGAGTGCCTTTTAAGATGCCCAGACTTCTGTGCCTCCTGGAGACTCTGGGTGTTATTCTTTAACATGGTAAGCAGAAGGTGGAACACAAGTCTCCAGTTAATCAAAGAGAAAGCATCTCCTGAGGATGACACACATAACAGACTCTTGTAATCCATGTGCACGTTTTAAAGTTATAAAAAAGACACAAAAGAACTCCATCTTAAAGCTTTTACATTTTGCTTAATCCCCACACCAGCATTCTCTAGAGTTTCTCCATCCTTGAACACCCTCTCCTCATGTCTACCTGTTAACTAAGGCTTGTTAGAGAACACACAGGACTCTCCAAGAACCACTGTCAGAGCAGTGGGCTCAGGACTAAGAGCTCCATTTGTAAGCAAGCTTTACAGGAGAGACTGCTGCTCAGCCTTGGAATCCTCATGATGTTCTTGCTACTAACAGTCTGATCTGCAGACCACAGTGTTAGCATCGTCCTGTTCATGAACAGAATCCCATTTGTGCCTCCAGACCATCTGTGTTCTAAGGTGATGTCCAGAGTTTCCTGTGCCCATGAAAGCAGAGGACTCCCTGGTCTGCAAGCCTCTGGACACAGGGACAGAACTGTGGTCTGTCTGGACGCCTGGTCTGATGATGCTCACACTGGAGTCCCGGGGCTTAGGCCTTGTTCAACTATTCATCTTGATCACCCCCTTGGTGAAGTCATCAAGGCTCAGGACATTAAATATCCTTTACACAGCATCACCTCCCAATTCTATTTCCAACCCAGTCATTCTTCCTGAACTTGTCCAGACTTGTCCCTCTGCCAACCTGGCTACCTTGCCTACATTTCAGGTGGACTTCTCAGGTGAGCATTTCCTACACTGATGCTGGCCCGACCCGACTCACGTCTCTTAACAGCGTCCACGGCTTCTCAGCTGATGACAGCTCCGTCTTTGTAATCACCTGGTCAGACATGTTGGGTGCTTCCTGACTCTTCTTTCTTATACTCAGATTCAGTCCATTAGATCCTACTGTGAGATTCACCCTCAAAATGCCTGGAGCGCGCAGTCACTTCCAGGGTTTCCCCCTGTAGGAATCCAGCGGGGGGACCATCATGTCCAGCCTGGAGACCTGACTGCTTCCCTAGGCTGGTCTAATGCGCTGTTAATCCTTCTGCCTCACTTTGGTTCTCAGCTCAGCAGGCAGAGGGATCCTTTGAGAAGAACGTGTGCACAGTCTGTTTGGTAAGACTGCCTCGTACCATCATGTCCAGCCTGGAGACCTGACTGCTTCCCTAGGCTGGTCTAATGCTCTGTTAATCCTTCTGCCTCACTTCAAGTCTCAACTCAGCAGGCAGAGGGTCCCTTTGAGAAGAACATGTGCACACTCTGTTTGGTAAGACTGCCTCGCTCACAGGAATAATCCTTCCGGCTTCCTCCAGACCCTTGATCTGCTTATCCCTCTGGCCTCTTAGCACGTTCTAGACCCTCACTCTCACTGGAAAGGGACCCTGCCCTGGGACACTGGGGCTGAAGCAACACCCCTTAGAAGAAACAACCTTCATACAGGTCCGTGACCAAGTCCTTTGAGTATTTCAACTCTTTCCTCATAGGGGCCTTCCCATGAAGCCCACACTGATGAGACAGCCATGTCTCGACACTCGTTCTGAACACCCTTCCCTGCAACACTTGCCCCTCATAATGGTCACCCACCCATTTTATTTGCTTAGAGAATTCACGTATGTCTAGAACCCAACTCTACAGGGCTTCACTGACCCATCTCCAGTTCGCTGATGCATCTTACACGCAGAAATTTCATGTCATGTAGACAGAGCTCACACAAATACAGTTGAATGACTGATCCCTGCAGAGCCCCGCCCTTTTCTGGAGACAGTATCTTCAGGGAGGATGCCTCAGGCCAGTGCTGCTTTGTCTGCTGCAGCACAACGTCCTCACACTGAGCTCAGGCACAGGAGCTTTTCTCACAGTCACCCCCATTTACATCTCTCTGCTTTAAGCCTTCTGAGCTCCACAACAAGACCATACTCCTCTATTCCCAGTGGACAGTCCATCTGTTAAAACCCGTTTCCTACGAATTCTATGCAAAAGAGTCTTGCTATGAGTGTCAGTCTCTTTGCTTTAGAAAAATATATGTCGCTTGTGTATCTAAGTGCTTGCTTTCTATAGAAACAACAGAAATTTTAGCAATGTGTTTACTACAGTGAAAACGAATGAACAGAAGCATTTTGTGTTAAAACCCGTTTCCTACGAATTGTATGCAAAGAGTATTGCCATGAGTGTCAGTCTCTTTGCTTTAGAAAAATGTGTGTTTGTCACCTCCCTTGGACCCCATGCCTGCCTGGGGCGACTAGGCAGTGGGTTTTGTACAGTGCGTGTATTAATATGAATCTGAAACACTGAAAAAAATTAAAGAAATTTTTCATGTTTGCACATACTTTAATAACAAAGTCACTTTAGCTATAAATGAACAAGAAAAGGGAGACAACGAGAATTTAACACATGATCCACGAGTCTGAGTCAGACCAGGCATACATCAAGTTTTAACACATAAATTGTCTGTTTGACAGAGGTTACACCTACTGATTTTGATTACACACATTTTCTAAAGCATTATTATCAAAGAGTGAAATATTAGGTAAAACAATGATGTCAAGAAAAATGTGTCCTGAAATTTTAACAAAGTCTTTTAAGAAAGTCTAAAAACTTCCCATTTTCCTGCACTGACTCTCAAAACTTTGAGTTTCATATGAGAATATCAGTTTGTTAATTTTAACTTTTGCCATACATGGAAAATTATCAAAATATACTGATTAGTCTATACTAATTGTGACTATATTTACATTAAGAAAATCTTTTACCACATTCTTTTAATTATAAAGAAACTACAAACCAGGAACCAGTCCTGGAGGAAGACAAGAGCTGGAAACTCATCTCCTGACATAGGAGCTTCCTGCCGGTGGAGGCTGCCCCGGGCCTGTGGGGACAGTGACGGACAAAACGCATCCCATTTCTGTCAAACCTAAGGGGACACAGAGGAGATCAAAACTCACAGTAAAGTTGGGGAGAAAATACAGCTCAGAAGTTAAAAGCACATACAGTACTCACAGAGCACCCAAATTCTGTTCCCAGCACCCACATACAGCAGCCAAAAACAGCCTGTAACTCTAAGTTCAGGGGCTCCAAGACGCTCTTCTGGACTCTACAAGCACCTGCACTTATATGCGCACACAAATAAACTCATATGCATATAACTTAAAAATTAAATATTGAGAGGGATGTGGTGGCACACACCTCTACCAACAGCACTAAGGAAGCAGAGGCAGGCAGATCTCCAGGAGTTGGAGGCCAGCCTCTCTTTACATAAAGGGTTCCAGGCTAGCTGGGGCTGCAGGAAGACCCTGTCTCAAAACAAACAAATTGATTTTTTTTTAAAACAACAGTAAAGAAACAAACACATGAGAACAAAGATGGAGGCCAAGGGTGGGCCATGGCAGGGGGTGGGCCTCGGCAGGGACTGGGCCTCTGCAAGGGCTGTCCCTGGTGCTGGAGACAGGACAGGCCTGGGACGTCTGAGTCCCTGTGATCACAGGTCCTGATGGAACCACATTCTACTGAGGGTTGAGGACAGAGGAGGTAAAGATGACCTAGTTAAGGATGACTGCATCCAAGTCCACAGAAGATGGAGTGCTTACAAAGACCAGTCACACTCGGCTCCCGCAGCCTTCTCCTGACCCATCTGCAACAGACTCAGTACACGAAACATACGGGTCCTAGAAGTTTTCAGATTTTATTGCCTCTGTCAGATTTTACAGATTTTTCTTCCTTAAAGAACTCATAAACCATTCCTTGTTTTTAAAAGTAAGACAAACTAATATGCACACCCTTAATTTAACAGGAAAGTATAGAGCTGTAGCTCAGAATAAGCCAAAGCTGTTAGGATGGGAATGACCCAGCCCTGCCTCTGCTGGAACATGAGAGACTGGAAGAGACGTTGTCCAGTGTGGGAAGGGGCTTGGTGCTCAGGGTTGGGCCCCTCGCTTCTTCGCAGAGTGCTGACAGAAGACAGACACTTGGTAATAAGATGATCTTTCCCAGAAAGAGATATCAGAAGCTCTTGGAGTCACAAAAGGAAGAGAGACCCAAAGAAATCCTTCAAGGCTCAGATTCAACAGAACAGGACCTCATCCTACGAAGAAAATTCTTAGGAGAAATTCATATCCATCAGCATGAGAACTGACATTCTCAGCAGCGTACCACACACTCAAATGGTCCCAATCCTGATCATGTCCACAGTCCAGAGACTGTGCGCTGACCCATCCCCCTGTCCCACTTTAGGCCCTCAGGGTCTCACCTCTTAAGCTTTGAGAGATGCATCAGAGCTCTGGTCACTGTCACTTTCTGAGGCAGAACAAAGGAAGAACTGGTCAGAGCCCACAGGAGATGGGGCGCGAAGGTTGGCTGAGCTCCCTCACAGGCTTCTGTCTACACTACCTCAGGGAACACCTCACCATATTTGCAGGCAGTCTCAGCATAGGAGCCATGTTTTCTACCTGTGAGAAGTAAACAACCTGTGATGAGTCAGGGAGGCAGCAAAGCCATGAGGGTGCAGAGGAACCCCTAGGGCTGACACCAGGGAGTTTCCAGAACTATGACAGCAGATGCAGGGATGGTGAACAAACATGAGAGATGACCAGGAAGAGGAACCACTGCCCTCCTGGAGATCTGTCCTCAGCAGGGACTGTCTCCTCTGACCTCTGACTGCTGGGAGTCAGGTCCCCATCACCTCCATCATCAGGTGATGAATGGGCCTTTAGTTCCCATGTGCCTTACAGCAGAGTGAGTGTCAGCACACAGCCCCAGGCAGGTGAGGACCTGTGTGTGATGTGATGCTACTGCCCAGTCTCTGCTGCCCACAGTTCTGAAAGTCACCTTCCTGTACTATAAACTTTAACACTGAAATCCTGAAAGATCAAAAACAATAAAGTCTGTTCCCTGAAAGTCATAACCCATCACTGTGTCTCAGATAACCATCAACATAAAGCTCTGAGCATAGCTACCAGCCATGGTGATATGTGTTTCATATTTTCTGTGAGGCCCTCTGTCTTTCGGAATACACTTCATCTGCTCATACCACGCTGTGCCTATGACTGTCATAGCTACACCTCAGTGCTTAGGGTACAGAATACATGTGCTTGTCGCCCCTTCATATCAATTGAGCTCTGTTATGTTCCTTAAACACCATTTAAAACCTTAATAAAGATTTCAAATGAACTTTTAAAATATTTCTTTCCAGAATTATATTTTTAGGACTGATCTTTTGAAATTGAAACATTAGAGATTACAGCATTCAATAGTATATGTTTGGGGCTGGAGAGATGGCTCAGCACTTAAAAGCATCTTGCAGAGGACCCAGATTAGGTTCCTCGTGCCCACATGATGGCTAATAATGTCGATAACTCCAGTTCTAGGACATCTCACCGCCTCTTCTGGCCTCTATCTACACTGCATGCATACATGTTTCATACACACAAAATAAAAATAAATTTAAAAGAACAAAAAGAAACATTAAATATAATAATAATAATAATAATAAAATCACTTTTCCTTCAATCATGTAATCAACTCAATTTAATCGTACACACTTAAACTGAAGAGCTGGGCCATGTTTCTGGACCCCTATGATTGGGTCATTGTTCTGATAACGGGACAGAACATTTGACCTAAGAACAGACAGACTGTCCATGACCTCTTGTCATCAGTGTGAACAATAAAGAGAAGTTAGGGAAAGGGGCAACCAGAGATAGAGAGATGTGGATCTACTCTGAAATGCGCTATATATCTTTTTTGACACAAGGCCAAGCTACTATCAGCCAGAGCGGAAAACTTTCCCTGCACTTGGAGCATCAGTGGGAAAGAAAACTCAGACCTCCCCCTTCCCTACCTGTGTTCCTCCTCCTCATCATCACAACAGCCACCACAGCTCCAATGATCACAGCTCCAAGGAGAACCAGGCCAACCACAATTGCCAAGATGGGGATGGTGGGCTTAGGAGGCTCTGGGAAGGGAAGGGAAGGTGAGGGCCTGACCCCAGCTCTCAGCCCTGACCCTGCTCAGGGTCTCCAGAAGGCTCCTGCTTTCCTGACAGCAGGCTCTGTGCCCACACCCCTCCTTACCCCATCTCAGGGTGAGGGGCTCAGGCAGCCCCTCATGCTGCACATGGCATGTGTATCTCTGCTCCTCTCCAGAAGGCACCACCACAGCTGCCCACTTCTGGAAGTTTCCATCCCCTGCAGGTCTGGTCTCCACAAGCTCCATGTCCTGGGTCAGGTCCTCCCCATCCGACTGCCAGGTCAGGGTGATGTCAGCAGGGTAGAAGTCCAGGGCCCAGCACCTCAGAGTGATGGCCCCTTCAGGTCTGGGGTGATGGGTCACATGTGTCTTTGGGGGATCTGAGAGAAACAGGTGGAAAGCTCAGGTATTTTCTATTCTTCTTGGGGACTCAGCAGTGCTCATGTGACCATCCTGGGACAAGACTTGAGAACTGGGGTGGGGGAGGGGTGCAAATTCCACACAGCTGCCTAGACACAGGCATCTGGGATAATCCACTCCTTAGAAAGTTCTATATTCATGGTGAGCCAGCCCTTGATGGGAAACTCCATGTTTCCCACATGGAAAATGGACTTCTGGTCCTGACTGGGTGGGGCTGAGAGACTCAGCATCACTGGATTCAGACCTCCAAAGACACTAGGTGTGGGCAGAGAACCCAGCCTGAGAGAGGCCATGGCTCACAGTGGGCTGCAGATGGAAGGGAACTGCTGGTTGGTTATTTCAGGATCTTCTCTCCTATCCTGAGACTCTGAACTGTCCTAGAGAAGGGTGAGCCCTGGAGTCACTCTCTGATGTTGGACCAGGAAACCCAGGAGCATCTTCCCTTTCCTGATGAGAGAGAGAGAGAGAGAGAGAGAGAGAGAGAGAGAGAGAGAGAAGCTAAAGGGAAAGGAAAAGAGAATAGAGAGAGAGCAAAGAGAAGAAGAGAGGGAGAGAAGAGGGAAGAGGGGCACTAGCCCAGTCTGAACGTAGAGGAAATAGGTGCCCACCCCCCATACCCCGGGTCCATGTACCTGTCCTCTGCAAAGTCTCCTTCCCGTTCTCCAGGTGTCTGAGTAGCCACTCCACGCACTCCCCCTCCAGGTAGGCCCTCTTTTCCTCTGCCACACCAGCCTGCTGCCACTTGCGCCTGGAGATCTGAGCCGCCATGTCCGCCGCGGTCCAGGAGCGCAGGTCCTCGTTCAGGGCGATGTAATCTTTGCCGTCGTAGGCGGACTGCCAGTACCCGCGGAGGAGGCGTCCGTGGGAATCCACATCACAGCCAGACATCCTCTGGAGGGTGTGAGAACCTGGCCCCGCCCCCGCTGTCAGCCCCGCCCACACGGCCCCGCCCACCCTCGGAATTTGGACCTAAACTGAAACTAGATTATGGTCCTGAGGCTCTTCCAAGTCGAGGGTCCCCGCGGGTCCCGCAGCCTCGGGCCAAACTTCAGAACTGGGGACCCGGGGCGACTCGGGCCGCCCGTGGGAACGTGGGGCGTCGTGACCTCCGACCCGGGGTCATTCGGAGTCACTCACCGTCCTCGCTCTGGTTGTAGTAGCCGCGCAGGATCCGCAGGTTCTTACTATAAGTTTGCGCGCTGATCTTGACTCTCTGCGTGTTCCGCTCCCAGTACTCCGGCCCCTCCTGCTCCACCCACGGCGCGCGCGGCTCCATCCTCGGATTCTCCGCGTCGCTGTCGAAGCGCACGAACTGCGTGTCGTCCACGTAGCCGACGGAGATGAACCGGGGCTCCCCGAGGCCGGGCCGGGACACGGCAGTACGGAAATAGCGCAGCGAGTGCGAGCCTGCGGGGCGAGGAGGGAGGGCGGTGAGACCCGGGGACAGGGGCGCGGCGAGGAGCGCAGGGCTGGGGGTGGAGAAGACTGTGGGGCTGTGTGCGCGAGGCTCCGGGAGGAGACGGAGCCGGGCCAGGGACGCGGGGCTTGGGATGGAAAAGGAGCCGGGCGGGGGCAGCCCAGCTGGGGCAGCGGGGAGGGTCCGGGCGGGCGAAAGCCGAGACGCGGCTTCCCTAGTGCTGCGCCCCAGCTGGGCACCCTCGCTCCTCCCTCCAGACCCCGCACTCACCCGCGCCGGTCTGGGTCAGGGCCAGGACCGCTGTGAGCAGCAGGAGAGCGCGGGGAGCTGTAGCCCCCATTGTAGAGATTTTGGACCAGTCTGGCTCCACTGGATCTGCGTGAACTTCACACCCGGTGACTGTGAGACGCTCATCGGCTTCTGTAGGAATCCGACACCGGATGGGATTTAGAAGCGGGACTTTGTCATCAGTGTCCAAGAAGTGAAACTCCCCAGATCTGGGCTTCCGGACCCCAAGCTCCGCCCTCAGGCTCCTCCTCAGATGCCAAGACCCTGGACTTTGTTCTGCCCTGCCACACCGAGCTCGCCTACGTCACTCTATTTACCAGAGTCCTTCCAAAGTTTCAGGATTTCTGTATGCTCTTGTGAATTAAGACAAACTCCAAGGGTAACTTTATGTGAGCTATGTCTATCGGTATTTATCACTTAGAAATTAAAATCCTTGCAGCTGAGGGCCCTGGTCCTATTCCCAGCCTTGCGAAGGCAGAGAAAGGAGGATCCAGAAGTAGTTCAAGGTCATCCTCGCTGCGCAGATCATTTGTGGCCAGCCTCCTATAGGAGATGGGAGAATGAAAGAAGGAATTAAGGTCCTGCTTAGTGGCATGGGGCTTTAATTACGGCATCCTGGAAGCAGAGGCAGGTCGAGTCTGTGAGTTTGAGATCAGCCTGGTCCATATAAGGAGTTTCAGGCCAGAAGGGACTACATACTGAGACCCTGTCTCAAACAAAACAAAAAAGGCATGAGGGTGAGATGGGGCAAGGGAGACTGAAGAAAGGGAGGAAGAGGATGGGAAGGGAGGCAGGGGAATGAAGGGAAGGACGGAGGGAGGGAGGGAGGGAGGAGAAAGGGAGAAAACGGCTGTAACATCAGGTACTAGGCTAACAGTAGGGACAGGAGAAGATCCTACGTAGGACATTCAATAAAAGGGAGGGAGGAAGGAAAAGGGGAAAGTCACAGGGCAACAGTTGAAACCAACAAGGACATACTCTTGATTCCACAATAAAGAAGACAGGACCCTCTGGGCAGGTGCTGTCCAGAGCGTAACTCACTTCGTCCAACTTCCCAATCATTCACGCATACGAGGGAGGAAGGAAAAGGGGAAAGTCACAGGGCAACAGTTGAAACCAACAAGGACATACTCTTGATTCCACAACAAAGAAGACAGGACCCTCTGGGCAGGTGCTGTCCAGAGCATAACTCACTTCGTCCAACTTCCCAATCATTCACGCATACAGTCATTCGTGTACACAAGACATAAATAGAGACCAGAGTACCCAGTTTCCAATGGTACCACCAGTTTACCAGATGATCTTCTCAGCCAATGTTTTGGCATTGATAAAGGCCTTAAGGGAAGGTCCCCATCGGGATCACATTCCCATTATTAAATACCAGACCAGAATGGAGCTCCGCCTCCTAGGAAGACCAGAAGGACTCAATCAGTTTTGGTTTCAGGGTCAGGCAGAAGTCATTCTGGGACTCTCCAGCTCTAGTGAGAGAATAACGGGACCCTGGAATGTCTCAGGGAGTACCTCCCCCATAACAATTCATCAAACTGGGGAGATCCAGAGCAAGGCTGAATTCCTGAGTGACACTCTTAATGGAGCCTCCAAATGTAATACCAAGCAAGATGTATCAAGGAACACCACATAGTGATGGTCATATCAGGAGTCCTTTATTAGTAGTCAGTGATCAGACGGGGCTAATGCCCAAAAAAACTCTTGACCTTGTGGAGAAGCAGAGGAGGGTTTATAAAGCTTAAAACCACAATTACATCATGTCAGGGCAAAACTAATAACATTAGTTACCTTAGATCACCATAACACCAGACCAGGGGCAGTCAGTTAACAAAGAGGTTTTCAGTTAACAGAAAGTTTTGAAATGCACAAAAATTCAATAAAAATAAATTCAAAAACAAAAATGAAAAGTTTCAATAAGGAAAAATGAGGCTGTCAGAATTGCAGAAACTATGGGCTCCATGAAGATG